GACAGCAGAAGTGATCATGAAATTACACCTAAAGATGTACTTAAAAAAGCTCTTGAGTTCTTCAACTAATGTAGCTGCATTTCATATGTATTTAAACTATAATACATTTTCATTCAAATGTAAATAACATGCATTTAAGCGTCTGAAAATATTACATTCAGTTCACACTAAAAGGCACAATATGTAAGATTTTTTTATTAAAATATCCAAAAACCACTAGAACAGTGTTATATATTTTGCTGACTTGTGTACTTACATTATCCCAAAATCTTTCGAAGAATATTTAAATCCAGAGAAATAAGCAATTTTAACAAATGTAAATTTTAGTGACACGGACCGTGTCCATAGTGTCATTGTGTCACCTGCCAATGACGTCATAACCCCTCGATTTCCGGTTTTGTTTTGTAGAAAACATGGAAACACCAAAGACGCTTTAATATGTTGTGCGTTTTTCACAAAGGTAGCATTCTTCTCGTAGTGGACTTACTTGAGTGAACTGAAACTGTTGATATAGGTGACGTGATATTCTACCCAAAGACAGCAGTCCAACAGGTCAGAGGTCAACAGAGAGACAGTGTGCTGTGAAAACTCTTTTTCAAATCTAAAACAGAAGGAAACTGTCAGAGAAGGAAAGATGCAGAAGTGATCTCAAGTTAATCTATAATACTGTGACACAAACCTTGTATAAAATGGATTTAGCTCCTCTAAACAGGAGCTTACAACTGACTTCCCCAGATTCTCATCGATCTTCTCAAGATTCCAAGCATAACTCACTATCAGCTAACAAGACAAATCAATAGGAGCAATTATAAAGACTTTTTTCAGAATTCTGATATGGGTAAACGTCATACATGAACTCTGCAAGGAAGTTATAATGCTTGAAAATTAAATAAATAATACAAAAATTACATTTTAATTATTATAGAATATAAAAGAATTAATACAAATTTTTAAACTGATAAGATTAAGTCCTGACCTGACAAATGTCCATGTGTATTTTTGACGTGAGGAATACATCTTCTGTTATTTCAGGAGATTTCTTCTTTTTCCATGCTTCTGTTTCAAGTATGATGAAATTCTCCAGTGCAAGTTTAAAGTCCTCCTGATATCAAATATGGGATCACAGTAAAAACAATCCGATGTAAACAAGTTCTAATACTTATGTTTTGTATTAATATAGAATTCGCTAAACTCTCTTTCCTTGCAGTAGCTCACCTTTTGGCAATGACAGTAAGAGGTTTTTATTTTGTTCAGATCCTCTTCCATTATAAGAGCTCTCTGATGGTCTTGCAGATCACTGTGTAACACAAAAGAGATACAAATGAATTGAAACATGAAGTAAGCAATGATGTATCGTTCAGATATTTCTGTGTTTTGTTCTTAAAACCTCACCTGGGGTAGCGATGAATAATGAAATCTAGAAGAGCGTAGTAATCTTTCAGCTCTGTCACCTTTTCCAGAAGTCTCTTTAGATGCTCTCCTACAGCCTCATGGTGGCAGGACACATAGGTTTCAAACACATTAAAGTCTGCTGGATATGAGCTCAGAAGCTCTGTCTTCACTCTCTGCAAATCCTCCACCACAGCTTTACCCAGGTGCTCCAGATGCACTGCCAGCCAGGAATCGTTCTGCTCGCGGCTGTCCAGAGGAACTTTCTTCAGTGAATCCCGAACCCCGTTTAGTACCGCATCCTTCCATGCTTCCCTCCATCCCTGCATCGCTCCTGGCTCTCCCCGTCTCTTCTCTTCCTCCAGGATAATGGTGACCACATACACCAGCAGCTCTTTATTGCACGAGGGAAGAGCACTGGAGTTGCGTACAATGACAGACATTTTGTCCCTTAGTGCGTCATACAACAGATTGAGGTCTTTCTCTTTATTAACCAGATTTGAGTGAGATTCTCCTTCCCCCAGAGCGCTCTGTTCTAACTTGAACTCCAGGCGCAGGGAAAGCAGGTTCCGATATGCCTCCTTCAGCATGTCTGTTTGTATATAATCTTTTATCTGCAAAACTATTGAAAAAACAAAGCAGGAATGAGAGAGAATGTTGTTTGATTATATGAGAGCAGTAGCCTATGCATTAAATGTGCTGTATTTACTAACACAACCTAACTAGAGATTTACCTGAGCATGGCTTTAGAGGAATCTCTGTGGCCTTAAATTCAAATTTCTCTGGGGTAACTTTCCCGTCTTTATCCTCTGATGTAAATGCTTTTAATGACCGTATAGATTGTTTCTTTTTAATGTGCCCATCGCTTTTTCTAAATAAAGAAAATCTGCGAAAGATGCTCTTCACTGTGAAAACAGAAAATATTATAACAAATTATACATTTTAAACCTCAACATCATGTCATTTTTCCTTCTCAAAATGCCTAAAGATGAAAAAAACCGCATTAACACTTATTCTATGACAACTGTCCCAAAAGTCTTTTACACAGACTATAACGATGCATCCACATTTCACATTTCACTCCAGCGCATCTATCCAACTTTGAGTATTGTGTTTTGTACAGCTTTGTATTGTGCCGTATATTGCATAGTTTACATTATCTTGCATTTTGTATTGTACTGTAGAGTGTATATTAGTATTAGTATTGTACACTTGCACAGCTCTTTTACTCATACATTACAATAATGACTTAGCAGGTTGGAAATATATTTTACTCTATTCTGTTTATGCAGATCTAGTCATTTAAATTTCTTTGACAATGATATATTTACCATTAGAAGTGGGAGATTTTTCCATTGTTACCTCTAATCCAAACTGCTACTGAACGATTCTGCACATTACATGAGATAGAAAAACAGAACATATTATGAAAGTAAAACATCAGCCAACATCATATTTTAATATAGTGCTTTATTTAATGACACTTATCACTAACTCTTCTTCACTGATTCTTATCAGGCAAATTGTGATTTTATATTGGTTAGTCAATTATTCACTAAAAAACAGCAAGGCGTTTCAGCCTACAGTAACCTTTAGCACAGCGATGACAATAAAAACAAACATCGACTCTTCCTAGATTCTAACTCACCAGCAAAACACTAAAACTTAAAATAAATTACAGCAATAGTAGCACAGTACAGTAACAAGGAAGAATTATGATAATAATATACAGTAAATATTAGAAAACATAAGTAAAAATTAATATAAAGGGTTGTCATTCTTTTTACATTCACTCTCAGTCTCGCTGACAAATTAAATGACTTTAGTGTCACCTCTAAAACATGAGCTGCTTTTCTATATTTTCTGCACCCGGAATTGAAAGATTAAAAGAACACAGCATGTTAAGTAACTAATGTGTAGCTCTTACCTGAAACCTTTTCAGGGAATGTCCCGTCTTCTCAGAGCAGCTGTATATATAAGCTAGTAACATTACTTTCACTTTCATCTATACTTGTAAAGACACGTATGTGGCTTTTAAGTATGAAAACCAGTGTGAGGCTTTTATCAATTGAAGAATATGTTATTTGATTAGCGGACAATAATACAAGTCTCCAACAACATGAACAACTGCATTTGATCTACTTCAGAGGCCCCTGACCAAACAAAAACATGCAGCCAAAAGAAATCGATTACACCATCACAAACTGCCAGAGCCAGACAGTAACTAAGTACATTTACTTGAGTATTGTACTTAAGTACACTTTTTGAGTATCGGTACTTTACTTGAGTATTATTTTTTCAGGGAACTTATGATTTTAACTTCACTACATTTGAAAGACAAATATTGTACTTTTCACTCCACTACATTTCTATCAAGGTCCACGAAGTAGAAAGTCGTTACTATGTAGCAGCTTTGAAAGTCAGTGGGTGATTTTTTTCTTCTCTATAACGTGACTTTCTTTCTTTTTCAGACAGTTTATCAGTAATCACTCTTGGAGGGCTACATGAAGTGATTTCCCAGCATTTTTTGAACACTGAGTTGCAAATGTGATATTTCTTTACAACAATTCAATAATAAGAAGTTAATATTGTGGTATATATTAGACACAATATTGTCTGATTTTGCTAAATTGTGTAAGTGAAAATATTACCTATAAAGCCACAGACACACACACACACACACACACACACACACACACACACACACACACACACACACACACACACACACACACACACACACACACACACACACACACACACACACACACACACACACACACACACACACACACACACACACACACACACACACACACAGAGTTTTCGTCAGGCCCGTCTAGAGCCGTCTGATATCAATTCCAAGTTATCTCCTTGTCTCCGTGTCTTCTCCCAATGATCCTCCCTGTGTGTGTGTGTGTGTGTGTGTGTGTGTGTGTGTGTGCTCTACTCTGCACCTGCAATGGATGAGACTCAAATTATTATTCCATTTGTTTTCCATTTGTTACATCCACAATTTGTCATCCAAGTCATTACGCACCTGCCTTGTGTTGATCTTGCCATTGGTTCAATAAACTTACCATTGCTGCAGTATTCCTGTTCCCTCTCATTCCCGTCATGCCTGACAAAATCTAACATTAATGTTTACACATCCATTTAGTTACAAATTGACAGAAAGTAGGCTACCATTAGCATAGTCCCCATGCACTATGTTAATTATTTTTATTTTTTATTTTAACAACTTACTAGATGTCACTTAATTAGTTTGCATAATAAAATAGTATTTCAATAATAATAAAACAAATCCTTTAGATTTTTATACAGGCCTACTAACCATTTGTAAAAAGCCGATACAGGACTTGCTGTTTTGTGAATATGCTACTGTGCTCATAAAGGAAACACATAATGCTTTGCATAACCACTTTTTTTCTCAGTGGTAGGCACAATTGTATTTTTGGGAATCTGAAAGTGAAGTGTAATCATATTTCAAACACTGACTCAATACTGATACAAGTCAGTGAATACAGTGATTCCTCTGTTTAGAACTGAACTGTATTGAATCTGAAACTAAAAGCTGAAGCTAGCTGCTGTTGCAGCGCGCCCCATGCACCTATCCAGTGACGTTTCAAGGTGAATAGCAGAAGCTCTGCTGTGAGAAGCAGGGTTTTTCGCAACTCTGTATTTACTGGGAATTGATTTGCTTATTCTTGCGGTTGAACCTGTCGGTGCAGCGCGTTTGCCAGCAGTTTGTTTTGCAATTGTTTTTTTGTGACAAGTGAAGGATAATTGCCAGCGCCAGACTTTGACAAGAAACTCGGATCTCAGGTGAGTGAGGGGCGGGCTTCGAGTTACCGTGCGATGATTACAAACATGTATAACATAATTTTAATGTTATTATTTAAGCTACGTTTGTTTTTAAACGTGTTATAACTGACTAACCGTGTTAGAAGTGACTGACCTTCACAATACGTCTACTCCGCAACCTTTAATCCCGGATTGGCTGTGCTAATAACAGATTTCAGCTTCAAAGAGTTTAAATTAGTGCTTTTGAAGATTCAAACTAATGTTACATTAATGTAATGTGTCATTTTAACCGAATGTCTTTGAGGTCATGTTTAGTCAGTCCCTTGCAAACATTTATCAAGGAGTAATTTCCTCAAAATACCATAGGTAGCCACTATGATGTTGCTTTCGGTGTTATAAAGGAGATATTTTCTTCATAACTCAGAGACTTCTTCCAAATTGTCATCTTTTTGTGTAAGAAACCCGAGGTACAACATTTAGCCATTTTATTTTATTTTATGAATTTTATTTTGAAAATGTTACATAATCATTTAAAGTGAGACAGCATGTCAAAGTTATACATTTATCATTAACGTATACAGCGATACATGTGTTTTAATAGCAGTGTACAATACAGTTAGTGTATTAACTAATGTGTAGTGCAGTGTAATGACATGTAGGCCACTTCAGAATCGGAGTTATGAAAATGACCTGTATTGTGAAATGACTTTACTTTAAATTTGAAATAGAAACACTTTAAATTGAAACAATGAAAGTAATTTTTCTCAGGCAGAATGAGAAAGTTATCATTGTTATCATCACTCTTGTTTGTGATTGAAGAAATTGAGCTTCTTGCACAGTCTGAAGGAGATTTCACATTATAATCTACATGGTATCATGGTATTTATAGTATGTGAGGCGTATAGCCTAATTGTTTAGAGATCTGCAGTAGAACTAAGTAGTGCATTACTCATGAAGTTTTTTGGCTGTTTAGTGTATTAATATGAGTTCACGTCTTTGTTGTTATGACAATGTATGCCTTCTACACCCCTGTGAAAAAAATGCCATGTTGTCAGCAAACAAAATCTCCAGAGATCATGATGTACCTGCTGATAGATTCAACAGTTGCATTCTTACACTCGAGTCAACACAGTCAAACCTTCTGTTGTGGTTTTGTTTTCTTAAACTTCTTGATGCATTTTCTGCAGGCTTGATCCGACTGATGCTGGTCAAATGGCAGAAACTACAAAAGAAGAAGTAGATGGTGGAAATGAGGTTAATGACCCATCAGAATGGGATGAGGATGCAACCAAGGGTTTGAAAAATGGTGGAGAACAGATGGAAAGTCCAGTCAAAGAGAAGAGTCTTGGAGTCTTGAAGTCATTCAGAAGGAGTTTGAAAGGGTTCAGCCCTAAGACACAGAAAGACAAAAGCTCAGAGAACACAGACGACCAAAGCTCAAATTCTCCATTACAACCACCACAATCTCCAAGTAAGTGTATAACCACTAGACATAAAAAAAGTGCTGTTGTTTTTTCGGTGACAATGGCATCCCACAGTAGGGCTGTGCAATATATCGAAATTATCGAAATATCGCAAATGTACATATCGCAATATGCATATCGCTACAGCTTGCAATATTTGGGGCCATGAACAAAAGACAAAGAGAAAATCACTCACTGCTCTTACCTAAATAACTTTTGTAGCTATAATAATAATCAGTGCATATTGAATTCAAAGAGTAAATACTAAGCAGTGTTTTATTTTTCCTTTTTATTATTCAGTTCCTAAACTCATGTTAAAATGATTACACTAATGTTAAAATGACATTTTTATGTAATGCTCGAGTAAAACACATACCGTTCACTTTCAGAAGTTGTTGTAGGGGTGCTTTCTTATTAGAATCAGAATCAGAATGAGCTTTATTCACCACTTAAGTGTGCGCAAACACAAGGAATTTGTTGTTGTTTTACAGGAACTCTTGGTACATACATACATACAAATAACCATATATATATATATATATATATGACACAAGATAGTTATAGAAGTTCACAGAACTGACTCAGCAACAGCTGAGTAAAACTGTTTCATCTGAGCATGTGGCACTTTAAGCATTATCGTATTGCATATCGAATATCGCATTATTTAATGAGTTATCGCATATCGCATTTTTCTTCAATATTGCACAGCCCTATCCCACAGTCAGTAGTTTAAGAGGTAAAGCAGATGTTATGGTATTAATGAAGGAGTGTATACAGTGCTGTATTAACTTGGTTTAGTCAAAAACAGTATTATACTAGCAAACCCTAATCGTAAATAATCAAGTGAACTGTTAGCCAAGAAACAGATTATTTTTTTTCTTTTCTTTTCTGAATATGTTATTGAAAGCTTTTCACATTTTAGAGAACAAACCCCAACCCCCTTGCCAGCAAATCGAAGAAAAAGAAAAAAAGGAAAAGAAAAAAATAAACCCATGTATAGTACAATTAAATATACACCTCCATAAACATACACCGTTCATATTGTGTACTTATACAAAAACACATACAGACATCTCTACATATGTGATGTGCTGGCAAAATGAGTCACAATGAGCAAATGTTCAAAAATGAGTTATTTTATTTTCACATTCTCTGGAATCTGACAAAAAATTACTGAGCTACACCCGTTTGAAGTCGATAGAGTCAGCAAAGTCAGCTCTGAGAAAACTCGAGTTAAAGTTTTCTGAAGGTTCCAAAGCAAAATCACCTAGCAACATTGCTTTGTTTCCTCCATTTCTTTTCTTAATATTAATTACTATATTAATAATCACAATATAGCCAATTTTTATTTTATCTTTGTTAAAAATAAAGAACAGATGCAAAAAAACAACAACAACAGTACAACATGAAAGAAACAAATAGTGCATTACTTTTTTCCTTTTACATTTAAACAAAAGCATTCAAGTAAGAAAAACAAATAATAAAATGTAAAAATCACTTCAGTGTGCTCATTACAAATAAATTGATTATTAAAACTACAAAAGCAGTTCAATCAAGAGCAGCGATCTTTTATTGTTAGAACATTAATGAGATAGACGGCCTATAGGTATAGTAAGTCCTACTGTACTGCACGGAACTAATATAATGTTATACATGAGATGTTTTCCCCAACAGTTCCCCAAATGTTCACTTAAGACGTAATAGATTATATTTGCATGAATAGCCTACTTAAATACTGTAATTCTGTGTATACAGTATGTGTATGTATCGGGATTGCGCATTGGCGGAAGCGCCTTTATGTGCACGATTCATATATCAGTCAGCGGCAGCATGTATATCAGACTCCTCTCAGAAAACATAGAAATAAAGATCATCTTAGATGTTTAATTACTATTTGGAGCATTGGGATCACTAGATGAGGGCTTAATGAACAAATTTTGGTGAAAACCTGAAATTCGAACAAAATCGACATTTTTCACTTTTGTCTATAGCTCAAAATTAACCCGTGCACATTCCGACTCATTTTGCCAGCACGGGTCACATATACACATACAAATCATCATAAAAAATATATATATATTCCAATACCAATACCAATAAATACCCAATTATGAAAAAATAAATTTGTTACACACTGCTATATTTTATCAACTTAACCACACCACTTAAAGAATAAGGTTAATTCAGTTCCCTTTCGATACTTCACTTATACTGCATTGCTAGACGCTTATGGGGAAAACAACCTTTTCTCCGATCACTGAAGCCTTTTTTTCAACCATGCAGTGTAACTGCACGGCCATTGGTTTGAGCAGTGAAATAAAAATGAACCAATGGCGCGGCAGCGGAGCCTTTGGCGATGAAGCCCGCCAGAGCCTGCCAGAATGGGTGGGGCCATCTGGCTATATAAGCGGGCATTTCGCCATAGATTAATTCTCCTTCAGCGACGACGATCGTCTCTTCACTGATCTACGAGTCTTGAAGCTGCTCGCCGTTGACACACCCTTGCTGCAGATAGAAGCTGATTCGCGACCTGCGCCACTCTGCTGTTTTCCACTCCGCTCATCGAGCCGTCTCAGCGTTCCGCGCAGATCCCAGCTCGTCCCCTGTCACCATCTGGTGAGCCTAAAAAAAGCAAATTTCTCTAAAGAGCAAATTCGCGGCATTGTTGCAAATGCCGCGCCGTCACTGCAGCTCATGCAGGACATTACCTCACTGCACGCTGATGACTGCCATTCAGAGTGCGTTTGCTCTCTGGGCAAGCCCCACGTAGAAGCCGCTTTGACCGAGATGGAGTGTTCTCACTGCGAGAACATGAGTCTCGCCTCTATGCGTGCTCGGATCGCTTTCTTTTCCGAGATTGACTCCGTCCCTCACGCCCTCCCGTTTTCTTTCTCCCAGGGACCTGTGAGGAAAAAACAGTGAGGCAGAGGGCCTCGCTCTCGCCTTGCAGAGATGACTCTTGCTTGCAGAGATGATGCATTGGCCCATGACTGACCCAACCTCCTCCTTTACGCTTTCCCCTGATCCCCCAGGTAATCAGGCGAATCAGGGAACACAAACACAAAGTTCTCCTAGTGGCCCCGCTCTGGAGGAAACAACTTTGGTTCTCAGAGCTATCTCAGCGGTTAACAGCAGCCCCATGGCCCATTCCCCTGAGACAAGACCTTCTCTCTCAGGCGAACAGGACGATTTGGCACCCCCAGCCCGAGCTGTGGGCTCTGCACCTCTGGGCTTTCGATGGGGCCTCAAGCCCGAACTGTGGGCTCTGCACCTCTGGGGTCTCGATTTATACTTCTGTGTCGAACCTACGCCGTGTGTAGCCTATGCCGTAGGCTGTGTGTAGCCCGAGTAGCCTATGCCGTAGCCTGACATGCACCTCTCCAAAAATGTCACAGCGCGTCAACTCTATGCGGACTGCAAGCACTGTGATTGGTCTGCTAGAACCCCTCCCTCCGTATGTATTTGAGTTTTGTGTGTGTTTTTTGTGCTTAAATATATTTTAATGTTACACCTTCTTATTTAAAATAAAACAAAGCAAAGAACAAGTGTCTTATAATTTATTATACAATGTAGCATATACATCACTTAGTTGTCTGTGACAAACAATGTTGTTCTGCCATGGTACAAGTCCTTGTGGAGATTGAAAGAATGCCATATTTTCCTGTTCCGTTGTTGTCTCATTTTTTGTAGTTTTAAATAAATGATCTGTTCCGCTGTCACGGCTGATGCTTCTCCGATAAGCTGCTTCTTCTTCGGCTTTTGCCTGACACTGTGGGTTACACCAGCAACATGCCCGTGGACACTGCAGACTAGTGGTTTACATGTGTAATTGCACATCGACGCGGACAACGAAAATGAAAAGCGACGCATAGCCTACGGCATAAAGGCTACGGTGTAGGTCCGACGCAGAAGTATAAATCGGCCATAAATCAGCCTTAAGCCCTGCCTGCCTTGAATTTGGGCCTAACGACTCCAAGGTCGTCCTAAAGCCAAGGCATGGATATGTTCCCAAAGCGCTCAACACCCCATTTAGAGCACAGGTTATCATGCTCTCTGCGCTTCCTCCTTCGGCGGAGGACCAGGAGCTGAACCTTCTCTGCCCTGTCAGGGTGCTGAGAATTTACATCGAGCATTTTGCCCCATTCAGGCAGTTGGAACAACCCTTTGTATGCTTCGGTGGCCACACCAAAGGGTCTCCGGTCACGAAGCAGAGAATTTCTCGATGGTTGGTTGACGCTATCGTGCTAGCATACTCCTCCCTGGGCCCGCAGTGCCCTATAGGAGTAAGAGCCCACTCTCGGACTACTCGGCGGCCGGCTGGGCCTCGCTGTCCGCTTTTGCCAGGTTCTATAACTTGGATGTTCAAATTGACCCACGTTCAAATAGATCCTGCCACGTCTCAAATTTAGGTGTAAACTCTTTTATTCACATCAACAAAATTGTATTTTTTGCTATGGTTATCCCATATTGAATTATCTGGATTTGATTGAAACTATAGTTCTCTAAGAAATGGGCCCAGCCTAATACTGCAACAAGAGGGTCATGAGGAAAATAAATCTTAAGTACCTTTGAGTTGAAATCAAACACCTCAGTCCAAAATTTACACATTTTTGGGCAAATCCAAAATAAGTGAGTCAATGTACCCTCACTGGACTTGCATTTGATACACAGAGGTGACACAGAGGGAAAAGTAGAATGTAATTTGGTACGAGAGTAGTGTATTCTATGGACAACTTATACTGAATCAACTGAAAATTAGAGTTGATGGGACAAGACCTAATACCTTGGAGGGCCTTAGTCCAGTTATCTTCTGAAATATATAACCCCAAATCCTTTTCCCAAGACATTTTTAAGTATTGTGTATATAAATCTCGTATAGATAGAACTCCTTTTTCTTTCTGTGATAAAAAGGTTCTATCTGACTGTGAGGGATGGAATGCATGATTGCAAGCTATAGGGATCAGAGAGCAGGTCTGATGGAGTTTAAAGATCTTTCTGAGCTGATACCAAATCTTCAGAGAATTTACAACAATAGGGTTACATTTCTTAATTGTGAAACATTTTTGTTGTATTTTATAAGACTTAATTAGCTGAAGCTCCTTGCATGTTTCTCTTTTCAGGTTTGATCAGAGGATCTCCCTCACAATCTTCACTTCAGACTCCAAAGACCGAAAAAACTTCTCTTACCAGAACTGTGTCAGGTGACTGGTGTTTGCATGTCACTAGATTCACCTCTAGATAAGTGAAATACTGTTTGGGCTATAATGACAGGAAGTGTTGATAGTAAATGTTGCAAACAATGCCGAAAGGTTTGTTGATGAAATGTTTTAAACTTTTTGGGAGTTTAAGCTTTAGCTCATAATTCACACCTGCATTTTGATTGAACCTTTTGCATATTTTTATTTTACAGTATGTAAAAACAAAACACAGCAACACAGCTTACAATATATGGTTATTTCCTATATTAATAAAACAGTTACATTAACAAAGAATGTGTCCTCTTGACCTTTATATCCTGTTTATCATATCATTAAGGTATAATATATATAGTATGAGGAAATGCATAAAGTTACACACCAATGCAGTAGTGTACATTAAGATTTTTTATTATTATAAATATTCATTCATAAAAGGGTCAAATTTAGAGTAAAATTACTGGTAACTAAAAAGAGCTTTCATATTACATGGTCATGTTGATTTTTTTTTAAAGACCATTTGCTCTGTTGATTGTTATACAGAATGACACGAATTGTCTCCAGTAACCGTTTGTGTTATTCTCAGATTCTGCAGTTGAAATAACAGGTACACTGGCAAGGAGAGGGGCATCGATCCGGCAGAGCTTGGGTCTGGGTACTAAAAAATACAAACAAGAACCACTTGAACCTGTCACAGAGGCCATGACTTTATCTGAAGAGCAGACTGAGGTCGTAGACACAGTGTTGGAGCTGAGTGACACATATACTCTGCCAGAGATACCACCTATGCCTTTGTCAGGTGAGTGTGAGAGTGCATGTCCCATCTCTAGGCAGTTGACAAAGTAGTTGTAATGTAAACATCATCGTTTCAGATGAAAATTTATATGAATGTTTTAGATATTTGGACTGGGCAACATTTTTGTTACACCATTACATTTTGGGTCATTTGCTTTACTAAATTTATATTTAGTTTCCTGAACATGAACATTAAAAAGTTTGCTCTTAGTCCTATGATGAGGGGTTTTTCACAGTTTGGGGCCTGGGACCCATCCTTATCATTTTGTCTGTGTTCCCATAAGATTCAAGCGATGAATCTTATTTGAACTGACATAAAAAGGCATGCAATAAAAAGTAAGAATGCAGTTTAAAATGGGTTCATGTAGTATAACCATATGTCATGCTGCTCAACAATCCGCATAAACACTACCATTCAAAAGTTTGTTCAGCATTAAATTGCTCAAACATTGACATTTATAATGTTACAATAGATTAAATAAATGTTGTTCTTTTTAACTTTTTATTCATCCTGGAAAAAAGGTATCACAGTTTCCACAAAAATATTAAGCAGCACAACTGTTTTCATCATTGATGATAATAATAAGAATTGTTTCTTGAGCAGAAAATCAGCATATTAGAATGACTTCTGAAGGATCATGTGACACTGAAGACTGGAGTAATGATGCTGAAAATTCAGCTTTGATCACAGGAATAAATTCCATTTTAAAATATACTGAAATAGAAATCAGTTATTTTATAATATTCCACAATAATATTTGATAATATCACAAAATATTGTTTTTACTGTAGTTTTGATTAAAATAAACGCATAAGAGACTTCTTTCAAAGACATAAAAAAACTTACTGACTCCAAACGGCAATGTACATTTGCTTTGTCATTTTGCTGAAGATAAAAAGAAGAAAAACAAACACTATATACTGTCACACTGTGACTTAGATGTTCTATTCCTGCTTTTTTAGCACACCTGTCTTGAAGAGGACTTGCAATCAAAGTTACATTTTGTTCAGTATCTATTTATCTGTAAAGAACATCACATGCTGACATTACCCTGACCACATCAGAAACTCTTTAGTGGCTAATCAGGGACAAACAGAGCATATTTTACAATGTTTTTAGAAAACATGAGCTGATGTGGCAGAGATATAGACAGGCATCAGACATTCCTGAATGAAATATGATAGTTGTTGATGCAAGTGTGTTATAGTTACAGTATCAGGACACAACTCATGCAGTCGTCTGTATACTAATATTTTGCTCTTTGTTCTACTTTTTCTGTTATTTTCTGCAGTAATGGAGATTAACAAACTGATAGAGACAGAACATTTAGAGGAGGCCTACGTGAATCTACTGTCACTACGTCTGGAGCTTCAGCGGGAGCATCAAGCTCTGGATCAAGAAGACTATCCCATCGAACTTGTCAATAAAGAGAAAGACCTGAGTCTGCTCTATGGCACACTAAAGAACAAAATGTCTGCCATTGTATGCAACTCCAGTGCTCTTCCCTCACACAATAAAGAGCTGCTGGTGTATGTGGCATACATTATCCTGGAGGAAGAGAAGAGACGGGGAGAGCAAGGAGCGATGCAGGGATGGAGGGAAGCATGGAAGGATGCGGTACTAAACGGGGTTCGGGATTCACTGAAGAAAGTTCCTCTGGACAGCCGCGAGAAGAATGCTTCCTGGCTGGCAGTGCATCTGGGGCTTCTGGGTAAAGCTGTGGTGGAGGATTTGAAGAGAGTGAAGACTGAACTTCTGAGCTCATATCCAGCAGACTTTAATGTGTTTGAAACCTATGTGTCCTGCCACCATGAGGCTGTAGGAGAGCATCTAAAGAGACTTCTGGAAAAGGTGACAGAGCTGAAAGATTACTACGCTCTTCTAGATTTCATTATTCATCACTACCCCAGGTGAGGTTTTCCTCAGTTTAGATTTAGTTTTTCTAAATACAGCATGTCAATATAACTTAAAACCCTTTTTGATATTGAAGAAGCAAGCATACTGGTTCAAACCTTTATGAAGTATATTTTTATGACACACAAAAGCTGATTTTTTGAAGAATATCCAGGCTGTTTGTTCCATATTATAAAAAGTGAATGGGAAACTCAGGCTCAAGTTTGGAAACAGTAGAAAACACCATTAAAGTATCATAAAAATACATATTTCATTGACAGTACCATTCAGAAGTTTGGGGTTGGTAAGACTGGTAAGTCTTTTATGTTCATCAAGGCTCCATTTTGGGGTCAGAAATACAGTAGTATTGTGAAATATTGTTCAAATTTAGAATAACTGTTTTCTATTTTAATATATTTTAAAAATGTAATTTATTCCTGTCTTGATTCATCAGAAATCATTTTAATATGCTGATTTGCTGCTCTAGAAGCATTGCTTATTATTATCAGTGTTGAAAACAGTTGTGCTGATTTTTTCAGAATTATTTGATGAATAAAGAGTTCAAAACAAAAGGATAGAAATGTCAGTATTATTTCCTTTCTGGGAAAAACAAATCCTATGCCAAACCTTTGAACGGACGTATATATTTAAGATCTTCTGAAGCCATATAATAGCTTTGTCTGACAATTTTTTCATCATGGTTCACTTAAACACCACGTCAGGTTTGACCTCAATGACATTTGATCTGAGAACCAATGGCGTTTTATGTCGTTTACATCAAACCAGGAGTTTTGTTTGATTTACATAACTCATTCACATAAGCCAATCAATAGAGTGACCTACTGCATCAGTCAGAGGCTCTAAACATCCACGTCTCAAATCGTGAAAGGTCTAGTGGTCTCATGAATGTGTTTTTAAAAGACCCATACACAGCTGTGCCTCAGTGTGATAAATAGCTCATCGTGATTTATTCCAGCCTTCTTCAGACCTTATATGGATACTCATTTGTGATCCAGTTGATGAGATTCATTGTGACTGTACTACTACTTTAAAAGGTTATGATTATGGCTTTATCTTAAAAATGTACTTACTTATGTACCTGAATTTAATTTATCTTTCCATAGTGAGAAGATAATGGGAAGCAGCTCTCTGCGGCCTGAGCTGAAGGAAGATCAGAGAGCACTGCCAGTGGACAAAGATTTCCTTAATCAGATAAAAGACAAATACTGTGCACGCTTACAGGTAGTTAACAAACATTTGTTATTGTCAACGCTAGAAGCGAGATGACAGTGTGGTGTCAGATAACTGAGAGTTTCTGAATTCAGTGTAATCTGTACTCTTGATAGGCTGACATGAAAACATCACTCAACAGAATTATTGACTTGGAGAATGAGGAAATGTGGAAAGAAAAAAGAAAACCAGTAATTGATGAGGGAATGTACTGCTCACACATTGACATGGACATCTGGACGGTAAGACTGCAGACTTTCATAATTAGCTCACCTTCCCATGGTTTTAAATGGAAGTCAAATTAGCGTTAAAGGAAAGTCCTTTGATTTCCCATTTATATGGCCACAAACTCATGAGGGCATTGGTTTACCAATAGAGGGCAGTATAGGACATTTATATTAACTTATAGGGGCCCCAAAACCTATTAGGAAAGTTATGATGCCTTCATATGCTATCTGAAATTTCCTACTTCGCATTTATGAAGTCGTAATTACGAGTTTGTCATGTTTAAGTGCTTTGTTATCAGAATGAATAGGAATCATAGAGGAAACCAGGTTCATTCTTGCCTATTTCTTAGGGAAATCTTATTAAAGTATAAATGTATTTTTTTACCCAATATCGAATGGATTTTGAATAAAATTTATTGTGTACATCTATTGTATACATTCACCATGCTATCTAGAGTCATATTGCTGTCGATTCTGAAGTTTCAGTCAAATAAATGCTGTTTTCACTGAGTAAAATACACACAATATGCATCAAATGATTATTTATATACATATACATAAATATACATGACTGCACAGCCCTCTACGGACACCTTGGCAATTAAATTGCCATTGGCTAGTAAATGTTTTAGTTTACTCGCCAGACTGGTATACTGAATATATGAATCGCGATCCTGTCTTCTAACGATTCTAATGGATACACAATTCACAATTCTCTGCACACGCTCTGCATCTCTCTCTCTTTCTCTCTCTCTCTCTCTCTCTCTCTCTCTCTCTCTCTCTTCTCTCTTAGATCTGAGCGTTAAACATGGACGTGCGTGCAGTTGCCGTACTGTATTAAAGCTATAATCAGGATAAAACTGTATATTAAAAGCTAACATAAGCAGTAGCATTTACAAATAACAGCGGATCAAAAAGTATGACACAACAACAAACAAAAAACATAGGCCTACCATTAAAAGCCGTGCTTGCACAGGTTCTGCACGATCCTCTTCAATAATATCCTCTGCTTCTCAATCGGGCTCAAACTGATAAGCGATATTAACGACGCCTTTGTTTACAATACAACCGAAGCACATGCCGCTGAGGGGAGGGGTGGGATGTTTAGATGCGCACTAGAGGCGGTTTAGCCAATCACAACACACTGGGCTAGCTAACCA